ATGTATATATCAATATGCATATTTATCAATGTAACAGCTGCTCTTGAGCTAGAGTGGTTTCTTATATTGGAAATGAACATAAACTCAAATTAAAGACCTCTGTATAAGACAAGTTTTAGAATTACTAGTCCAAAACATTTTCTCTTAGTGTTTAGAATAACGACTCGACTGATAAAAAAAAAATAATAAAAGAAACGTTTTCAATGCCTATAGTTTGCACAGATTAGCTAAAATCATAATAAAATGGAAATGTATGTAAATGACATAATTAGATTATGAAAAATGGAAATCGGAAAGATAATTAATTTTTTCAATCACTCATGTTTATTCAAAAAGGATGAGTTTTAATCAAGGAAATGTAGATTCAGGCAAACAAGGTTCAAAGATACATGAAACATTATTTTTGCAAGAATGATGCTTATCATTTAATTCTTTTTTATACTAATAAATTTCAGGTGTTTAGATGTAAACTGTAAAACGTATGACATTTAATTTTTTTTACAGCAGGACAAGCATGAAAAATCTATAAATTGTTAAAAGGTTATTTCAGTATTTTAAATATGGATGTTTGTCTTTTTTAAACGTATGCTCAGTATTATGCTAATTCCGTTAACTATGAAAACTGAAGACCATAATTTCTATTAGGTGAATGCATAAAATATTACACTAACGTAAATCAGTCATATTAATCAATTGATTAACTGCAAACTATTTAAATATGCCTTTATGTTGCTTTATTTGTTTTTATTTGTAAGAACAATCGATGTATTAATAAGTGCCTTTATTAAAACACCTTTGATAATAACTTTGTATACACTGATTAACATGACTGTTTAAGTTTCATATTCATAATTATGAACGATTTTTTCCATTAATTGGATTGTCGTGAAATGTATTTCATTTATTATGAGAAAAACTAGAAACATGTACACAGTACACGAATGTCCCGCCCAGGCTTCATTAGTAATAAAACTTTAAAAAATAAAAAGAAGAAATTTACCTTGCTTCTTCACTTAGAATAAAAATAAATGAAAAGTAGTGAAGGGTCAAGGTCATAGAAAAGGTAAAGGTCAGTAAAATATATTTGAATAACTCCCATCAATTTGTAATTTAATAGGAAGTTTGTTGAAAATATATTGCAGTTTCTTTAAAGCTGAGTTCTAAAGAGGTTGTAGGTAAGGTCAAGATAAAAGAAATGGATACAGTTGATAGGTAATAGACAGTATGTATCAGTGCATGTGTTCAGGTTAAATATATTTAGGAATTTCTTTGAAACTTAGCTAAATACAAAAATTAGAAAAAAAATAACGACCATATTAAACAGTTTTGACAAAGTTTAATTGTTCCCACCAATATGTATCATTTTTGTTTGTTTGTTTGTTGTTTTAACGTCCCTCTCGAGAATTTTTCACTCATATGGAGACGCAACCACTTGCCGGTGGAGAGCTGCAAATTTTGACCTATGCTCGGCACTCAGGGCCATTGAGCAGAGAGGGATCTTTTTTCGTGCCAGCAAATACTGCGACACGGGACCTTTTAAAAGTTTACTCTTTTTCATTTCTGACATCATCTCCAAGGGTTTCCAGGACAAAATATGTGAAAACGTTTACAAGAAGTCAAAATCGGAATGATTCATTCTTTGGAAAAACCGATAACTATCCTGCAACATCAACCTCAATTTCAGTAGTTTATGTACATGATATATACAACAAAACAGATATCTCAGAAGGATTCAACGATCATCCAGTATACAGTCTTGGGTGATATTAGACCAATCCTCTATGCGATTTTCTCTGTCGTTTTGCTATCTTTCACGCTGATATCTGTATTGATCATCAGGAAGAAAATTAGAAATTCACGATGCAATAAACAACAGGTGGAGAGAGATGGCATTGTACAGGATACTGGTATATACCAGGAAATAAATAATCATAACAGATTTCATCAAAGTATTTCCTATAGTGTGTGCAGGGGAAATAACGAAGAGGCGTTAGAGGAAAGGTCTGAATCAGATGAAAGTCAAGGTGAATTGGATTGATTGATTGTATGTTTGTTGTTTAACGACCCTCTCGAGAATTTTCACTCATATTGAAACGCCACCACTTGCCAGTGGAGGGCTACAAATTTTTGACCTATACTCGGCACGTAGGGCCATTGAGCAGTGAGGGATCTTTTTGAGGGACTAGATTTGTTGATTATGTAGTTAAGGAAATAAGGAAATGCTAAGTCATATGTGTACTTTGAATATTTATAGGAAAACATTGATATATTTAATATTTATAAATTAAATTAACAAAAAAGACCTCATATCTTATGTATTTCTTGATGAAGATTTCCAACAAATCTTAAATAAGGATATCATACAATAGTTCATACATTGCTTTTCTAAAGAAATGCTTATAAAGTAAATGTAATTTGAATCTTTAGTCATCTAAACTAATACCCTCTGAAAGGCAGCGCTAAACATATAAATACCGGTATAATCTCTCTCATGTGGTACTCATTATATGTCATTCGGCTTCTTTTTTTTAACTTACACAGTACATACGTATATATCAATAATGTAATGACACGATATTTGTAAAAATTAGACGACTGTTGTCAGAACTGTGTTTTATATGTCCTGAAATGTATTATGCCTTAGACAGCCAATACAAACATCTTGATGGATGTTTCCTTGGTGACTATTCAGAAATGTTTCTTGTGCATTTGATGAACAGTATCTTGAATTGTAAGATGTAAGATTTTCTTATTCTGTCAAGAAACATCTCCATTGGACGTGATCTGATTGAGTGGTTCTTGCTCCATGCGGCCTGAAGATGCCACTGTAAAGAAAGATTTCAAATATTTATTGTGCCAAAAACTGTTATATTTTCCAGAGTTCATATCAGATACTTAAATAAACAAGAGGCCCATGGGCCACATCGCTCACCTGAGCACATTGGTTTGAATTCTAAACTACCTGATGATGCTTCCATGTCAATATAACAAATGGCTTTGTTGTACTTGAGAAGATTTAAAAAAAAATCCCATATATTCCTTTGTAAAAATTTGATCCCCCATTGTGGCTCCTTCCTATCCCAGGGGTCATCATTTGAACAAACTTGAATCTACACTACCTGATGATGCTTCCATATTAATATGACTAAACATTGCTTTTCTGTTCTTGAGAAGAAATATTTTTTCTATATGTTCTAATGTAAAACTTTCCATCCCCCACTGGGTCCCACCCTACCCCTGGGGGTCATCATTTGAACAAACTTGAATCTGCACTACCTGAGGATGCTTCCATATCAATATGACTAATCTTGGTTTGCAGTTCTACAGAAGAAGATATTTTCCTTTATATTTCTATTTAAAACTTTGATCCTCCATTGTGGCCCCACCCTACCCCCAGGGATCATGATTTGAACAAATTTGAATTTACACTACCTGAGGATGCTTCTATATAAATATGACTCATCATGGCTTTGCCGTTCTTGAGAAGAAGATTTTTAAAGATTTTTCCTATATATTTCTATGTAAAACTTTGATCCTCCATTGTGGCCCCGCCCTACCCCCGGGGGTCATGATTTGAACAACTTGAATCTACACTACCTCAGAATGCTTCCATATAAATATGACTCATCATGGCTATGCTGTTCTTGAGAAGAAGATTTTTAAAGATTTTTCCTATATATTTCTATGTAAAACTTTGATCCTCCATTGTGGCCCCGCCCTACCCCCAGGGGTCATGATTTGAACAAATTTGAATCTACACTACCTGAGGATGCTTTCACATGAGTTTCATCTTTCCTGGCCCTATGGTTTTTGAGAAGAAGATTTTTAAATGATACCAGTATTTTTTTCACTAATTCCTAATTATCTCCACTTGAAAGAGGGCATTGCCCTTCATTTGAACAAACTTGAATCCCCTTCACCCAGGGATACTTTGTGGCAAGTTTGGTTGACATTGGCCAAGTGGTTCTTGAGAAGAAGTCGAAAATGTGAAAAGTTTACAGACAGACAGACGGACAGACAGACGGACAGACAGACGCCGGATAAAATGTGATCAGAAAAGCTCACTTGAACTTTCAGTTCAGGTGAGCTAAAAATCAAAAAGAAAAATAATATGAAAAAAAATCCCATATACATAGATGTACCTGGTTTTCTTCTTCTTTTTGCATATCTGATCAAATATATTACGAATCCTATAAATACCACTAGAGAAACGCTGATGCAAACAAATATGATTATGTCCATGCTGAAAAACACAAGAATAAATATTGTAAATATTATATATTACATGATGTACATACATTTTTTGTGTCACTTAATGCCAAATGGAAACAAGATACTCACGATACTAACTCCCTTTCCTCCTTCATCTCTAAATTGATTTCTAAGGCAGTTTTGTTTACGCCTGGTTTATGGAATTCATCAGGATGAATTCCCTGATTAACATTTCTCAGAGCAACACAATCTGGATCTGAAGCGAGAAAGAAATTGTCTGAAGCTATGGAATCATCTGCTGAGACTGTTCCTTAAACTTTATTTAAAACAAAATCATGATCCATTAGTTGAATGTAAAACAGTTGAACTTTTATAACTGACGAAATAAAACATTACATTTATAGGACATCCAAGACTTGTATCTGGTTGGACAAGGTTCTGTGAAAATTTTACAATTTGCATTGTAGTTGTCTTGTACTCGTTCCCCCTGAAAATTATACTCTGGGCAAAATCCTGTTCACAAAAATAAACAAAATTAATCAATTATCGAATAATAGTGGGGTTTTAAACATTATCAAAGAATTTAAGTTCTTTTTGTTTTGTAGTTTTTGTGTTAATAGCGGAATTTAAGTTTTAACTTTTTGTTTCTAAAAAAAATTGTTTCCACAAAAGATTATTTACTCTTACAACAATTACAATTCTTGTTAGGTAGAGATATAAAATGTTATATATTACGAGAAAGTTTTGTCAGTTCCAAAAGCATTGAAATCTTACCGCTCAGTACTTACCCAAAAGATATAAACCAGGTGCACACACTTCAATGGTTTGATTCATGAAGGCATTCGCCACACAGTGGTATCTAAAATTCTCTGGACTGGTACAGTTCTGGGGAATACTTGAACAGTTTTTCTTTTTTGCGGCTTCCATCCATGACTTTTCCGTGCTAGGACATTTAGTAAAGGACAGCGTTATTTTCGTTGCGGGGCAATTCTGGAAGGCCATTGCCTAAAAATACATGTAGTTGGAACCGAGTTCAGATGATATTAGTAAGTATATAACAAAGTAATTAAATTTTTATTTAAATCGGTATTGTGTACCTGAATAACATCAGTCATGTAACAGAGCTTTTTAGTGCAATTTAACCGACCATTACAGAAACTTTGAAAAATCACAGAAACATTCATATAACAAGCGTCCAACATGCGAAACAAATACACCTATATAACTCAAACATGGTAAATAAACAGAATAAAATTAATATAAAAATGCCTAGTGGTTAATAATAAAAAAGTTATAACACTTTTTTTTTCTTTGAAATAGGAACATGATTTAAAAATTAAACTAGATTAAACTTAAGAAGTCAGAATGAATGCACTAATTACGGTAATACTAGAAAATTTATAAAAAAAAAATAGTAATTAAAAATTAAAGCAAAAACAATTTAAATTTCTCAACAACACACAGCCAGACATGTGAATAGGTCAATCCCTATCATTGTGTTTTAAAGCAAATTTAGTTGGGGTTGACCAACATAAATAAAACAAAAATGTAGAAAGATTTTGAATTGCTTTCACTTTCATATTCATAGGACTTTCAGCCCCCCCCCCCCCCCCCCAAGCAGAAGCTCTCCAGAAAGAATCTTTCTTTGTGATATGTGTTTATCCAAGTAACCTTGTTTTACTCAAGGATAGTAAAATGCACTTAAAAACATATTCTATTGACCTATTAACCGATACGTCTATTTTTAATTTTGCATACATGTATCTAAAGTTTTGAAGAATGATTGTATTTTAAATAAGATATTACTATTATGGGGGATTTTGCTGGAACCGTACATAAATATATTGATTATATCTTCTGACGTACACACTCTTGACAACGTATTAATAAACACATTCGATAAAATTTAAAACAATCAAGTAAGACTTTAGTATACACGTTCCGTGCAAAATGAACTCTTACAAAATTTCCCTTTTCTAATTATAGCTTGATCTACTTGCTGAAATGTGTTATCATGTATTTCTTAGTGTAAAACTATGAAGTGTTTAAGATATAAGGATTTTTTAAAGATGTTTATTTATTTATATAAATATGATTATATAAGTAGCATACCACAAGAAAAATTCTAAAATTATCATTGTGTAATTATGATATGAAGAACTAAGTACAGAATTAAATAGTTTATATAAGAAATAACTAATGACCAGCAGTACAGTCATAATTAAGCAAATAAAAACAATGATATACGGAAAAAAAAGATGCAGATTATAAGAAAAAACAAATTTGATGTTATGTAATCTCAATTCTTTTGGATTCCCCCTTTTCTAAAAATAGACCTAAAGATATTGTTTAAAAATGAATACTTCTATTAAATTCTTTGACGTGGATTTATTTCTAGGAAATAAAATATAACGTTTATGTACCTACATTTTTTTCAATTAGTTTGTGGTATTTTTTAAATTAAAAATTATTTGAAGAGAAGAACATGAACATCATTTACATGTAATATGAATCGGTACGAAATACGCTTCTATAATTTTTAGAACTGAATTTGGACTAATTGAAGAAAGAAGAGTTAAAAAAAAGATACTTACACATGTAGCCTTAACGAGTAAAACAAACAGAAATAATTCGACGGAACCCATTATAGTGATTTGCACTTTAAATGTACTGTATCCAATATACTGCATTCCTTTAAATGCATGTCAGATAAACCTAGGCATAAAGACGGGTATAAGTCTATCACGTGGTCGTGATACCAAAATTATCATATACATGTATATTTATTCCTGTCCATATTAAGTTAATGAAATCAAGCCTTTATTTTTACTTTTACTAGTTAATGACCAAAAGAGCTTTTGCGATGGTAAAGTTTCGCCGTCCGTCTCTTTGTCTGTCTGTCTGTCTGTTTTTTACGTCTGTAAATTATTTTCAAACGGCTACTCCTCCTAAAGTTTGGTCCTTTTGCAATCTATAAACCGGTATTCAATTTCGATAAACGATATTGCTATAGTAACTCAAAAGAGAAATTCTTTGAAATTCTTTTGAAATGCTTCTCCGCCCAAAGTTTTTGTCAGTACCGATAAATCTTTGTTCACAAGCAGACACAACCATAGTAATTAATTCTATATTAACATAAAATTTTGATTTCGATATACGACGTTGTCCTGGTTAAAAAAGGCAAAATTCTTACAAAAGATTTATCTTATTTCATTAGAAATGAAACACAAGTATACAATACCTTCAAGTTACATACTTTTTGTGTCTTACCGGTATAAATAATCAGAATAATGAACAAATAAATAAAATAAAACATATTTGCAATGTTTACACAAGAGAAAAATGATTACATTTTAAAAATTTTTGGTCACTTTTTTTCACTTTGATTATTTTAAGCTAATTTTCCATGCATGTTTTTTTTTTCCTTTTTAAATTGCTAACGATATTTCATATGATGTTAAGATATACTAACGGAAAAAGAAACTGTGCACTGATAAATTAAGCATAAGACTCAAAGCATACTGTTTATATTTATAAGCGGTTAATAATTGATACAGGTAGTGATAATAATGACACTAGACTTGAAATCGACTCGACTCTGTTGCTCGGACTTTCATGGTAGACAAGCACATGTTGTTCTTTGACGTAATCGTATTCGCATTGTCATCTCGGGCATTTTTTTGTGTGTCAAAGAGTTCGAGAAATTTTTCAAGACTTGATTTGTTCAGAAAATCACTTTGGTATTATAATAAATATCCGTAATTGTGGTATGCCAGGGCTAAATGAAAATTAATGTCTTCGTGCTGTTGGAATATTGCAGATTCGGATAGACCAGAACGTTGAAATCATTGCACGACAATTTGGTGTTCACAAAAATACTTTCCGGTAATTATGGAGACATTTCCAGCAAATCAGCAACACTCTGGATCGACCACGTTCAGGAGGTCCCCGTGTGACGTCGGTTCGCCAAAATAACCATATCAGACTTACGCATCTACGAAATCGTTTTCAGACAGTAAGGTTGACTGCATCCCAGGTCTTATGCGCATAAGTGCAAGAACTGTACTGCTTGTACGGCTTGTGTGAGCATAACAACACACCCAGACGGCCTGCGATACGACCAATACTGCTCCAACAAACTGCACGATTAGCATGGTATCGGGGACAACTGAGGTATCGGTTTTAAGACTGGACCAGTGTCTTTTTCTTCTGGTGTGTGACGAATGTCGAGGAAACATTTTTAAAATCCAAACAATTCATATTTACCCTAACATTATTCATTCAGAAAAAATGATTGTTGATAAATGTTTCCAACACATAGATACATTTACCACGTATGACCATGTACCATTTTATAAACGCATGGGAAAATTTTCTAAATGCGGTGGACTTCATTTGTGGAGGGGGTGTTTAATTAAGATTTGCTTAGTAGTGCTTGGGATAGAATACCATTTTTCTTTGAGAATACTATGGTAATCTTGATACGATTGGAGATGTTAAATATCAAAGATAAATACACTGCATTGGTATTTGTAAATGACCACTTTGATCTGAGATTTATAGGTTGAGATTCCCTGCATAACCTCAGAGAACCAATCCAAATGAGAGTAAATTAATAAAACGAGTGAAATGTGAAAAGCACACTTCTTTATACAAGACGTATTGTTAACCCTTCCAACTTTCCAAAATCTTCTCTGAATGAATCCTCCTTTTTATTAAGTCAATATACATACACTCTTATGATATGCATTAAAGGGTTAAGTGGATTTACTAGCTAGAACGCCTAATTTCTCATGAGCGCGTGTACATACAAAATCGTAAAAAAATGACTAAAGAAGAAAAGCAAGCATTATAATTATGAAATTTCCCAATATGATGCATAATATATAAAAGTTTTATGTCATGAATATGGGGACCAGAGTCTGTCACAGAAAGATTTCATAGTTTGATACAGATTTATTTTTTTTAAATTCTGTTGTGTTTTGTCTTCAAGAACTCCAAAGATGATTGGATCAAATTGAAAAACAGAGAGCATAAATGTATCACCTAGTGCACATTAAAGTCATGACAGCTAAATTGTACATAACTATACTTAGAAAATCTATTCAGGAACTTGCTAATGAACAAGAAAAGGTTTTATCAGTAAAATAAATATGAAAACTTCCTGTATGTTACACATTTACGGATGCTCAAGAATTCATACCTGATGTCTAGACAAGTAAAGGATTCAAGATTTTATTTCAAAATATGTCGACTTCTGGAGGATCATCAATAATGAAACTTGGCACATAAATACCTCTAACATTTACTGCATGTATTTTACATAGCCTTTCATTTTTTATTAAACCTTTAGAAGGGGGTACTTAATACAAATTGAATTTAGCAGTTTTGACATATATGGATTTTATTTTGAAAATATCGTTAATGTAGTTAATGTCTTAAGAGCATTTTACTGAAGGTCACTTAACGCCTGGAAATACCCTCTACTAATTATACATATTGATATCGTGTTAAGCACGTGTCAATGATTTGTCACTGACTGTTGTTTACCAAAGTTGGTACAAGTTATGCAATAAATGTTAGTATTCGAAAATTTTCCACAGAGAAAGTGAATGATGTTTTAATAGCATGATTTGAAATATTTTGGATGTGATCGGTGTTAAAATTACATTTGATGTATAAGTCACATTCTAATTCATTTTATTATATATACATGTACAATTGAAAAAAAAATGTGTGGGAAAACACACGCACAGATAGAAATTTGTGTAAATATATATTGGACAAATAGTATCGTTTCCGCTTCATCAGATTAAAGAGGTTATGTTTGATTTAATAATTATATGTTATCTGTGACAATGCAGAAAGACACTTTTAATAATTGTTAGATATATATTAATGAACGAGGTTTTACAATGTGAAAAAACAACAACAGATGACTCAACAGCAAAAACATTTTATTTGGAAAGAAAGATATTCTGAAAAAATTGAAAAAAGAATTACTCAAAAATACTCTTTGAACTACATTAATTTAATACTTTTTGCTATGATAAAAATTAACGCGTTGTCTTTAAACTCCAAGTATCATTACTACCTGAAATATATCTAGATTTGAAGGTATTTTCATCATGTGTACATTTATATTTACTTACCGACAGCTTGGTAAAATTTAGCAATAGAGTTAAAAAAAATATTCTTCTTTATATCCATCTTTGCTTGTTTCAAACCAAGCATAAATAATTATGTGATTAACTGACTTAATAAATAATTTTGAGGTAAAAATCTTCAACGATTGAATTTCTTCACAACTGTTTCTTCCTACCTTTCAGAGATTCAGGTTGGAGATGACTTGATGTAAAATGCGGTTGATGGAGGCTCCAAATTGGAGTGTCAGAAAGTGCAAGGGGTGAAGCCTCTTGAGTCAGATGGTGCAAGGGGTAGAGTATCTTCTTGCAATTTTAGCACTTGGTTATTGGATATGTCAACACAATATATTTTCTTCGAGAACTTATAATTATAGAATGTTACATTAGCCAAACAATTTAAAGATAATTCCTTTGAAGGGATGAATTTATCTTATGCCGAAACACAATTTCGTGTAGACCTTTTGACAATATCTTATGAAGTATATTAATGAGAAACAGCTAGGAAACAGTGAAACAATTTATGACCCTCAGATGTCAACACAAGGAACAGTTTTGCTCTTGATTTAAATTTTTAAGATAACAGAGGCTAAATAGAACAGAAACATCATCAAACTAATCCTGTAGTGCTTGCTGTCACTTTCTTTTACCAAAAAAAAAAAAAAAAGAAAGAAAGAAAGAAAGAAACAATCGAAAAACAACAAAATGACACAGTCAAAAAATTACATTTGTATATAAAAACAATAGGAGCATACAGCCTGTGCTTTTGATTAAATTTTGGTAGATAACAGATGCCGTGTTCATTGGAAACATTTAACATTGGTAAGACTTATGTCTCATGCTGCTATCCCACAGAAACTCATGGCATCTTGACAGATTTAATTAGGGTTTAAGGCCCTTAACTGAATCAAAGATAAAGTAAGCGAAATTTGTGAAAATTAACATAGGAGACTCCACCCCTTGCACTTTGTAACACTCCATTTTGGAGTTTTCATCCTCCACATTTTACAACAAGCCATTGGAAATGCCCGTAGCTAAAATTATGATATTCTCAACCTGAACATTCAAATTAAATGTACTCGGTAATTATTCAATTTATGTACTAGAACGAAACAGCTATTGTACGTATAAACATGTATTTTAAAAGAAGTATTTTGCCTTGTATGAATTGAAATGATTTCTGTATAATAGTCCCATTCTCGTAACATTACAGCAAGAGGTAACATATATCAAGGATACATTTGCATATATATACTAACATTGCATACTAATATTGCATTTAAAGGTCCTATCTAGATCCCTCTCCCCATGTTTAAGTTCATTTCATTTTATAAATGCATGGAAGGGCAAGCTTGTCATTCTTTTTGAAATTGAGCAGATTTATTAATAAATTTTAAGCTTTACATACAAATCAAAATTTAAAGACAATTATACTTTTCCCATAGACCTCAGTCATGGAAAATAGTAATCCATAAGCTTGAAACTTGAACACCTCTGTGCGTGTCTGGAACCAGTGCGTTATCGATTTAACACATACAGAGTCGGATGAGAAGACACGTTTATCAAATAAAATAACAGTTTAAATAATCTGGGGTAAACAAGACTCCAGACTGTATTTCCTTTGAAAAGGATAACAACTCGTGAATAACGATTTCAAACTTTTACCCTGCAGGTGTGGTACACCTTGTCTATATGTATGGTTTTCAAAGCCTAATCTGGTAGTTAACTTGATTATTTTTAAAGAATATATTAAATAAATTTCCCCTTTAGTTATGTTTTACTATATAGTATATCTCGTTAGCTAGAAAAAAAAATATTGAAATTGCTTAATTTACTTTTCTTCTCCAAATTTACAATAAGAGCCAACAATGCTATATTTCAAAGTTACAAACAAAGCTAACACATGCTATATAGCTAAATCAGGACATAGTATAATGAACCTTACTAACATTTTTATTCTCGTTTGAAGCATACAATTTTATTTTATGAACATTATTTTAACATGAACATCCAAACAAGGAAAGAACGATAAGTTATCATATACGATAAATAACTATATCTACGTGTAATTACAGTATCAAAGCTTTTACTATAGTAAATCAAAGTATTTTCCCTATGAGTTTCAATTTGTTATATTTTATTTTTCTCCAGTTCTGACATGCAAATATTAAACATCAATTAAAAGTTCTAATATTTACATTATTGGTAGGGAATTTATGAAAATATTAAGGCTTTAATTCTCAAGCAAAGTTCAAGAGTAAAGTTTCCTAGTAAATCAAAATATTAGAGTGTTTACTCTGGTTAACTTTAGTAAATGTGTGTTAGGGATTATTCAGTTCAGTGCCCTATGCTTTACAAGTAAGTTTTTCTGTAGATGATCTTGATGAATGAAATAAGAAAAATGCTTACTTGTATGTGTGATTTGAATTTTGGTAGGAGGAAAACTGGAATAAATTTGTAATAATAAAAAAAAAAAGAAACTCTCATTTTTCAAAAAAATATTAATTAATAGTGGTTTTCAATATTTCTTGAATATTGACTGCAAAGATTATCATATACCCTACTAAAATTGCTGATGTACAAATTATAGTGAATGAAACAAATGCTTAATGATTAATTGATTGTATATTTTTTATGTCCTGTTCGAGAATTTTTCACTCATATAGAGATGACACCATATACATGTATCAGTGAAGGTCTTCAAATCTTGACCTTTACACGGCACTCAGGGCCATTGAGCAGTGAGGGATCTTTATCGTGCCAACGCCTGCCGTCTCATGGGGCCTCCGTTCTTAAGGTCTCATTCGAAGGATCCGTAAGTTTCACTTCAAAGTGCCGAGCGCATGGCGAAGGAACAGGTGCTACCCATTTTTTTTATCGACTTAGGTCAGTCGCGGCAGAGATTCGAACTCACGACCTCTCGATCATGTAGCAAGCGCTCTACCGACTGAGCTACCGTGAACAGTCAACTGCATAATTAGACAATTATTTTTACTATGCAACAGAAAACCGTTGCCAACAACAACTGTTTATTTTTATCCCAGGTTCTGAAAGACAGTGCTAAACATATAAATACATGTACACTGTAACCTTTTTTTCAGGAGGCACTCTTTCTGTATTATTTAAAATACATTGCTTGTCACTTGTAGACATTTCAATTGACATAGTAGATATGTGACTATGGGGAGACAATACTTGTAAAAATAAGTTACGTCTATTGAACTGTTTCCATATCTCATTAAATATACCATAGAAAACGTCAGCCTATACGAACACATTGATACAGGTTTCCTACGAAACTGTTCTGCCTTTTTCTCTTGTATACTGCAAGAACTATATGATGAATAAAATGATGTTACATATTGCACTAAAATTCCATCATGAAGCATCTCCGTTGGACAAGGCCTGGAGTGCTTCTTGCTCCATGCATGAAGATTGCCCTGTAAATTAAGATTTCAAAAAATATCAAATATGCTAAATATTGTAAAGAATAAAGTCAAAATTGTATACTTTAAAAAAATCTTAATTAAATTATTCTTATAAATGTACATAGTTGTACCTGCTTTTCTTCTTCTTTTTGTATATTTGAGTAGGAATATCACAGTTCCTAACAATATTGTAAGGAATACAATGATGCATACACACATTTTAATTACTTCTAAGCTGCAAAATACAATAATGAATATTTTTGAAATTATAAATAAATAAATAAAATTTATAAATAAAATAAATAAATAAATACAATCTATAATTAATCGTTGGGATTCTGAGATTCGATCATTTGACAAAAACGCATTCACATCCGGATATATGCTGAAAAATGGTACATTTAACACTTATATTTGCAGTAGTGACTGAATCATAACAAATTTTGTGTATTATTGTTTTTCACCAATGGAATTTTTTTTCTAAACCTCAGCGGTATTAAATGGATGGTTTGAACTCGTCGACTACTTATGAAGATCACTCTGAAGTTATGTCAACTGTGTATGATTAAATGATGAATTTTTGGTCATGTGACGAACCAATATCTATTTACAGTGATAACCTTGCTCATTTTAATTTTGTAAAAGGGGTGGAGCAAATGTAAGTTTTATAGCATAATTTACAATTTCTAACAGTCGCCCGCGTGGCGCAGTGGTTAGGGCGTCTGCTCTAGAGTCGCGGCGTAAGGAGTTGAATCTTACGTCGCGGGTTCGAATCCCACTGTGGGACGTGGAGACCGGTCCTTCGGATGAGACTGTATAAACCGAGGTCCCGTGTCTCAGTAGGTGCTGGCACGAAAAAGATCCCTCACTGCTCAATGGCCGTAAGTGCCGAGTATAAGACAAAATTTGCAGCTCTCCATCGGCAAGTGGTGGCGTCTCCATATGAGTGAAAAAATTATCGAAAGGGACGTTAAACAACATACAAACAAAAAAAAAAAACAATTTCTAACAAACATGTGCCTACATAATTATCATATCTGTAAATGCCAATGGAAATATTATACTCACGATCCCAATTCCTTTTCCTCCTGCATCCCTACATCGATTGCTAAAGCAGTTTTGTTCACGTTTGATTTATGGAATCCAGGTGCTTGGCTTCTGTCGTTTAACTTTCTCAGAGAAACACATCCTGGATCTAAAACGAGAGAGCATTGATTTTTGTCTGAAGTGATAGACATTTTGTCTGATAACTTATAATGAAAATGATTCATATTTATAATTTCCATTGGACAATAATTTAACTTTTATAATCCATAAGTAGAACAATACATTTAAAGGACATCCATGACTTGTATCTGCTGGGGCAAGGCATTGAAAAATTTTTACAATCTGCATTATAGTTGTCTTGTATTCGTTCTCCTTGAAAATTGTACTCTGGACAAAATCCTGTTAAAAAGAAGAATAAAAACAAAATGAATTAATTAAACGAAGTGCTGTTCAAATCCTTTTCAAAGCATTTAAGTCTTAACAAAAAATACACACTTTAAGTCGTAAAAATTCTTGTCACTTACTTGTAACCAATACTATAATTACTAGATAAAAATGAATTGATTGATTGATTGAATGTTGTTTGCCGTCCTATTCGAGAATATTTCACTCATATAGAAAGTCAAGGGCTTCAAATTTAGACCTATACTTGGCACTCAGGGCCATTAAGTAGTGAGAGTTCTTTATAGTGCCAACACCTATCGTGACAAGGGACCTCGGTTTTTAAGGTCTCATCCGAACGACCCCTGACTTGCACTTCTAATGTCTGGTGTTTGGCAAAGGAACAGTCACTTCCTATATACATGTATGATTACGACTTAGATTTGACAGGGCGCGGCGAAAGAGAATCGAAACCGAGCCTCCAGATCCCGAAGCGAACGCCCTACAACTAAGCTACTGTGACCGGTAGGAAGAAATAAAATAATATATATATTACGAATTTTTTTTTATCAATTTAAAACATTGAAATCTTACTGCGCAGTACTTACCCAAAAGATATAAACCAGGTGCACACACTTCAATGGTTTGATTCATGAAAGCATTTGCAACACAGTGGTATCTAAAATTCTCTGGGCTGGTACAGTTCTGGGGAATACTTGAACAGTTTTTCCTTTCTGCGGCTTCCATCCATGACTTTTCTGTACTAGGACATTTAGTAAAGGACAGGGTTATTTTCGTTGCGGGACAATTCTGGAACGCCGTTGTCTGGAAAATACATGTACATGTTTACCATATATTACACACACATTGTTAATAAATAGAATAGATATAAAAATGCCTAGTGATAAATAAAAAAAAATTAACAACACAAAATTTTGCTATGAAAAAGAAACAAAAATTAAAAAAAAAATAAAAATAAAAATAAAGCACTAGATTAAGCATGGAAGGCAGAATAATTTACAGAACCTATTGATGTAAAAGTGAAAAAAAAAATAGTTTAGAATGCTTAAAAATCTAAACAGAAAAAAATATGACGTAAGTTAAAACAACATTCCCCAATAACAGACATTCTGTCTTGTGATTGGGTCAATCCCTGTCAACATTGACAAGATATATGTTGTTTAGCGAATTTAAGGGGGATGGAGCAAATTGATAAAAAAGAAACAATGATCCTGGAGAGCTTAAAATTCTAACACCATAGGATATCAGTCCAGAAGTCCCTATTGTTTAAAAAATTTAAGAAATTTAAGAAATTAACAATGTTTAAATACATAGTCAGAGATAAAAATGATTGTAGATCACTGAAGAAAATGAGGTATCAGTAAAGCAGATATTTAAAAGGCAGCAGAAATAAATATAAAGTAAACTATGAAATAAAGCTATGATATGACGATCAGATATACATTCACATTACTGCATGTTCTTTAAATAATTATTCCAAATTAACCCACTGTAATACAATACCTAAATTTTGCTTTCATTGTATTTTAAGATTTACATTACTTCACTTCAGTCTGGGTGACAAAAAATAACGAATTCGTCAAACTTTCGAAACTTCCAATCATTAAGAAATTTATGTTTTCAACTAGTTATTTACATTCGAAAAGGTTGATAATTTTTATTAAATTCCTTCCAATAAAAGCACTTTATTCAGAATCTTTCCGTGAAATATCTCTTTTTCCAAGCCACGTTAATTAATCATTGTTAAATGCTCTTCAATATATTCTATTAACCGATGCGTTTATATAAGACTTTGCTTAAATGTAAGCAAATCTATAATTATTTCTGAATCATATTTGTCACATTATTTTAAATGAAAACTAGTATCAATGGAAAATAATTGTAGGGACCCTGTATACATGTAAATCTATTGCCAAAATATCAGTATTATCCCGTATGACGTATGCACTCTTGACATTAGTAAACAGACGTATATTACAAATTCTAAATAACTTTTTCTGTTGATAATCCCAGATCAAAATCTTCTTATCTTTTACTGAATAAATGCTCTTGTAATTGATTGAACTTACAAATCAGGTAAGACATTAGTATACATGTACCATGTAGTATTGACTCTGAAAAAAAAAATCCCCTTTTCTAAATATAGATTAATCTACTTGGCTGAAATGTGCATCTTTCATATCTAACCATGAAACTAAAAAAATGATCAAGATATAAGGATTTCTTTTTTATTAGAATAAAATTATCTCAGTAGAAAACAGCAAAAAGATTCTAACATTTTCAATATTATATTTATGATATGAAGAACCAAATACAAAATTAAATAGATAAGATGGGGAATGCTTATCAATCAGCAGTACATAATGAAGAAAAAAAATAATAACAATAACATAAGAATATATAAATAATATTAATAAGTTGCATGAAATATGAGACATAAATCTTTAATATTATGAAATCTCCATGCATTTTGTTCCCCCTTTTCTAAATTTAGATTCACACTAATTTTCCTAAATTCTTTCAGAAAAAAAAATTTCTATAAAATTCTTGGATGTGGACCGTAACCTTTATATAATCAAATGTATAATTCACATAAAGTGCTTTTCTCTACTATTTTATGGTGGCTGTTAAAGTAGAAAAAAAATATTTAAAATGAAACGCATGAACATCTTTTAATACAATATCGGTACAAAATTTGCTTCTATACTTTTTAGAATTGAATTGTTACTCATAGAAGAAAGAAAAGAAATGATAATAAACTTACAGATATAGTCTCAAGAAGTAAAACGAGCAGAAATAAATCGAGAGTGTCCATGGCGGTTTTGCACGTTTAAGATAGTGTATCGAGTATACTGCATTTTATTAAATACCAGATATACATGAGCATAAAAAGGGAATAAGATTATCACGTGTACCGACGTGATACGAAAAAATATCAGTTGTATTTATTTTTCTCGATGATAGTTAGATGAAATCAAGTACATAATTTTTAGCTTTACTGGTCAGAGATCAGAAGAGCTTATGCGTGCGTCCTCCGTCTGTCGGTCTGTCTGTCTATTTCAATTCATTTTTTAACGCTACTTCTTCTACAGATTTGATCCCAATTTCATACGACATGGTACACAAGTATACTATTCTATGGTACATAATTCTCTATATCGGGTTTTGATTTCAACAAACGGTGTTGCCATAGCTCTTTCAAAACGCTACTTAACCTACTGTTTTTGTCCATTTTCAATAAGACTTGGTACACTAATAGACTATACTAAGATACTTAATACTGAATTTCGGTTTCTTTTTTAACAAAATATATTGCCATAGTTAATAAAAAATCTTTCAAAATGAGTCTCCTCCTCTGTTTTGGTCTGATTATACTTTAAAACGAATAAACAATATTAAAATAAACATTTTATTAGGAAAAAATATCGCTGAAGTGTATTTTTTTTTTTTTTTTTTGACTTACATAGTTGAAAAACCAATCTTGATACATGAAAGATACAAATTTTAACATTCTTCAAATTCCTACCGGAATTAAACGGAAGTATGGTTTGAATATGGAATTCAATATAATAATTTCGCATGCTTGCTTGGCAATTTTATGTTGTAATTATACATTATTATATCACCAAAATGACACAGCTTTATGATGTCACATTTCTGCCACTACTTGTCAGATATACATGCCGACTTGTCAGATGTTTATGCAAGTTGACTTGTTCGGTAACTATGTCAACTTGTCAGATAGTTTTGTTGACTTATCAGATAAAAATCATCACCACCAGGAACTCGGTATTTTGCTATTACAGCACGTTAAAGCCTTTAACTGAAATTTACTTGTCATCATAATATCTTACAAGTCGGAATAATTTTCAGATATGTAGCCTTGTCAGATAATGATGTTAACTTGTGAATATTATGTCGACTTGCCAGAATTATGTCGACTTTTCAGATAATATATAGAATTGTCAGATCTTTATGCTGACTTGTCAGATCTTAATGTTGGCTTATCAGATACCGGCAAGTGTAATCTGGTTCCCCTTAAAAATAGAAAATGCAATAACTCCCTCAAAAACCATTGAAGCGGAACAAAATGCAAATTTGATCTATAACTAATCAGGATAAAGTCACATACCAAAAATCAGCTCAATATCTGCAAGCGTTCAGAAAAAAATTGCAGAAAACCCTTAAAATCAAAGAAGCGGAATGGAATGCCAACTTAATCTGTAACTTATTAAGATACATTCATGTATCAAAAATCAGCTCAATATCTGCAAGTGTTTAGGAAATAAGTTCGGAAAACCAAGTGGGATAGAGTGACAGACAGACAGAGGGACAGACAGACGGACAGCTAAACCGCTAGACAGACAGACAGACAGGCAGACGGACGGACAGACGCAGAGTAACCCTATAGTCCCCTCCGTTTCACCGGTAGGGGACTAAATATATGTCGTAAACTGATGGCCTAAACTGGGCACAGACTCATTCTCATGTTGAATTTTTAAACACGTGAATAACAAAGTGACTTAAGATCTGACAAGTCGACATAATTATCTGACAAGCGGGTTTGGGGCAGAAATATGCCACCATTCAGCTTTACTGCATGTAACTCATTAAATACATCGTACCTGGAAATCCCCTCATATAAATATAGACAAGCATGTCAATATCTTAGATAATATAATATGTAATGTATCTTACATGTGTCTTAGTATCGCAAATAACTAAAACAATCATTTAAAAAAAAAACAGATACAATGTAAAAGGTATATTATTTCTCTTTCATGCCTGCTTATGTTTTTTTTAATTGCTAACGACATATATAATAAATAAATGTCCAAATATAAACAAAAGTAATTGAAAGAGTTTGTGACAGTGTGCTGGAAATATTTATGGGCTCTGGACTTATATTGTGAATGTATTTTTGGAACCAACATATTTATTTGTGCGTACTTTTTGGTCCGATGAAAAGGGTTCCTTGACAAATTAGTTAATATCATATTACAATCTGCTATGATATACATGTATACCCTTAGTACATGCACTTATGTATGCCTCTCCTTTCCCTTCCGGGGTATGAATGTGGAGCAAACATTTTTTAAAATCGAAGCAATACATATTTACACTAGCAAATGAATGTTCATTCAAAATCAATGATTATTGATAAACGTTTTCAATAGATACATACAATGTACATTTACCATGTAGGATTGACCATTTTCATAAACGCATAGAAAAATGTTCAAAATGGAGAGGACTTGAGTTGTGGAGAGGAGACGTTCCAGTAAAGTTTGTTCTTGAAATGCGTGAAATAAAATACCCTTTCTAACAATAATGTCGTGAAAATATTGCTAAAAAAATTAACTAAGTACCTTTAGCAGCAAAATTTTAGAAATTTTTTTTTTTAACTCTAAATATAATTACTACCTGTAACGTTCCTAGATAAAATGTATTTTCATGATATTTACATTTATATTAACTTACCGACAACATGTTAAAAATTGGCAATAGAGATATAAAGGCTACGAAAATATTCTTTGGAATGCCCATCTTTTCCTGAAACAAACAAAATGTAATTAATTGTCTTAATAAATAATTCTTAGGAAGAATTCTTCAACGAATAAATTCTACACCATTGTTTATTCCTACCTTTCAGAAAATTACAAGAAGGTTGGAAATACCCGTAGCTAAAAATATGAACAAATCAAATTAGTCATTTATCATTTAATTTATGCAACTAGTACGATAAAGCTACTGGGAGTATATGCACGTATTTCAAAAGAAGTATTGCGCTATGCGTCAATTCAAATGATCTCTGTAACAATTTCCTTTTCTTGTAAAATTATCACAAACGGTAATGCATATTAAGGATACATTTGTACATAACTATATACTAAAATTGCATTTGAAGTTCTTTTATCTAGACCCTCTTCCCCAGCTTTAAGTTCATTTTATCTTTCTAAACGTTAATATGTGCATTTTAAAATAGATTTTCAGAAGAAAGAGGTTTAAAGGTCTACTATAATTAACTGACAAGCATAAGGTCACCCCTTCTTACTTTCCTGTACTGGAAGCAAGGAGTAAGTACGTGAAAAGGCAGCAATGCGAGAGAGCTATAAAACGTGGGTATGACGGTGCGACCTAAAAATGAGAGGGGGTCATGCAATGAAGCGACAATGCCAGGAAGCACGGCAAGCAGCAACATTGCAAGGATGACGTTTTCTGCCTTTGGTATTACATAATACGTGTGAAAAGTTGTTCGCAAAATTATGATAAATACACGATTTGAGGACAGAAAACTATAAATGCAAAGAAAAGTTTAAGCTGACATTCTTCTTTAATTAACCAAAGTTATAGAATGTTAAAGCCTAAACATACACTGTACGAAAATCAAATTGTGAAGAAAAGTTGACTTTTCATACAACACTTAGAATTTAACAATGATCCGTACTCTTTAAACTTCATACTTCTTTGCCTGGTTTTGAAGTAATGCGTTATCGATTAAACATAGAGTCGAGAAAAAGTTTAAATGATCTGGGGTAGACAATGAGTTATACACGTACGCCAAATGCTTATTAAAAGGAATACAACTCGTAAATAAATATTTCAAAATTTTACCTTGCAGGAGTGGTACACCTTGGTTATTGGTGGAGTTTCAAATTTATAACGATGATTAAAGGGGCCTGGACACAGTTGCATTGATGTTTTGTTTAAAATTAAATTTTTTTTTTAGTTTTTTAAAGAATAAAACAAATTCAGTTTAATTAAAATTCTTTAAATTCAGTGAAAGCGACATTCTTCATAACATAATGTCAAACATCAGAGTTTGTAAAAATGGACACAGCTCTAGCTGTTATTGTTGTTGTTTACTTTTAATCATTTTTTTTCCATTTGCAAAATTGTTTTCTCATCACTGAACACGAACTAGCAACACTGGTGTGTTGGTTTTGCTTTCTTACAATTTTTCTCTGAATTCTCTGGATTTCATTTTAATATACATGTATTTCATTCATACACAACAAATTTTTGTTTTGCTTTAATAATAAGGACGTATTCTACCTCGTAAAAGTTAAGGATGTGTGTCAATCAAACGCGTCCCAAAATCCGTGGTTTTAATTAATTTTCAGATGAAAGAAGTTTCTTATCACGTTTTATAATACTGTAAAATCACATTTTTTCGTGGGGTCAAATTTTCGTGCTTTGAGCAAAAACTATAGGTTCATGAGGATTTGATTTTGTGGATGAACAATTTTGGGTATAATTATGTAAATGGCATTTCTGTTCATTTCGTGTTGGACCTGAATTATTGGGTGTCTTCATAGCTGGAAAAAAAAAAAACAACAAACAAACAAACAAACAAAACAAAAAAAAAACAAACAAACAAACAAACAAACAAACAAAAATTAAACCCCACGAAAATTAGTAATTTCACAGTATATCCGTTTGAAATCTTCGCGCAGCATTCGACATCGATCCCGATGCAAATTATGTCACTTCATTTCGTACAATATTACCTAACTAACACACTAACAAACAATCACAAACAAGCGCGTTACTATATCTCCCCCAACTCCGTTGCAAAGGGATAATAATTGAGCTTACAAATTCAACCCGCATATGACTCATTGCTAAAATAAAACTAAGTTATTTCGTTGGTTCAATTTTTTAACTTTTTTCGTAGATTAAGTGGCTGCATAATTCTGCTGAAATTGGCTTGGTGAGTAAGATGTAAACGATGAATGTGATTAACAAGAAGCCACAAGGAGAAACATAAAGCCAAGTTAATATATACTATTGCCAATCATTTTATGAGAGCTTGA